CCAGATGGTGGGTTAAGAAGAAAAGCAAAACAAAAGAGATGCGCACGAAACGGAAGCACGCGCGCGCCGCCTGACGGTTTCCTCTCAGTGACACACTGCCGTTGCCAACGGTGTAAGAGATTTCGTGAGCGTTCAAGAGGCTCTTGATTGTTCCGAGCTGCTCTCCGGGCAGCACATCGAGGAACGTCAAGGAAGTATTTGTAGCGCTGGTCGCCATGGACGACAGTTGTTGGCGATAACACAGGCCCAAAAACTCCGAGGTCCAAGCTCGGAAAAACTGATTTGTTCACACTCCTTTGTTCAGACCTACCAACGCCCCGGCATCCGTATCTGTATCCTTTAAGCGGTCTTTTTCTTCATGTCTCCCCGGAAGCTGTCCTTCACCTTGGACAGCGTCTTTTCACGCTCGGACCGACGAAGTGACCTCATCAGCTTGCTCAGCGTTGGCAACTTGCTGCGCCTGGAAAATTAGAATCCGCAGTGGGAATCTGCTTTGAGAGGGTGTTCCATATGGACAGTTAACTAAGTGTCCTACAAGAGTGTCCCACAAGAGTGTCCCGCAAGAGTGTCCCAAATGAGTGTCCCACAGGAGTGTCCCACAAGAGTGTCCCGCAAGAGTGTCCCAAATGAGTGTCCCACAGGAGTGTCCCACAAGAGTGTCCCACAGGAGTGTCCCACAAGAGTGTCCCGCAACAGTGTCCCGCAAGAGTGTCTCACAAGAGTGTCCCTTAAGAGTGTCCCACAAGAGTGTCCCACAGGAGTGTCACACAAGAGAGTCCCGCAACAGTGTCCCGCAAGACTGTCTCACAAGAGTGTCCCACAAGAGTGACCCACAAGAGTGTCCCACAAGAGTGTCCTACAAGAGTGTCATTTGGACATATGTAGCTTCTTGAACGTGTTTGCATTCGGGTTCGTGGGCTCCATCTTGTTTTTTTTGCAGAGCTGAGCATCCCTGAAAGCAGCACATGGATGAGTTTGAGGGGAATCATAAGAAAATAGTACAACCCAAAATTTGTATAGAAACAATTTCTTCACCGCATATTGCATCTCATATACAGACTTGTTGGTGCCAAAAAGCATGTTGAGAAAATCTGAAGCAATTACTAAACCCTAAGGATCCGCACCCTCAACAAAACCAGGGTTTGGTTCGGGGCCCCTGTCACCCTTGTGAACGGCAGGGGTTCGACCCCGACCCCCATGGTTCGGGTCCGGACGACCGGATCCTTAATTAGGGAAGAACTGATGTGCATGTTGCATTCAATTGATGGACTGGCACCTTCGAGTCAGACGGCTCTGAGACCTGTTTCGGGAGGTCAAGGCGGATGAAACAGGGACTGCAACAAACAGATGTTCTGTTGCCTTGGGATTGTCCCTCACCACCGCAAAACAGACTCTGAACGGTCGAATGGAAGAGTTGAAGAGTTCTCCCTTCCCCATCTCGACAAGCCATGGAGGTGCTGCAAGGCTCTGAGCCCTGTCGTCGACTTGATCTGAGCCCTCCCACGGCTGGAATGGCCTCCATCAAGTTGTCCTCAGGTACGTGAGGCGTCCATGTTCAAATCTAATTACACAGAAGTTGAAACATCTCTTCAGAATAAGCCAGTTTGCCTACAAGAGACTACAAACCTGACATAGAACTTCCCATGTCAGCCACATGGGACAGAAACACAGCCAGAAGGGGCGGTCTTCAAGTTCCAAGTTGTGTGGTAATTCCACCCCTGCCTTTGCCCCAAGAAGCAAGATGAATCAAGGACCCTCAGTTCGGTGAAGCTCCAAAGATCCCTAAACCTCCAACCACCTGCCTGAGGTTCGATGCTGATGGTGGTGCTCATACCACCGGTCACCGGGTCGGAGATGGGGCGTGACAGGAGCCCAGATCGAACGACCCCATCTGGACGACCGCTTCCCCGACGCCTTGTAGCGCCGGTTCCCATCAGCAATGCCTCGGTTCCCCCCCGCGCTGCTGGCGCGGCGAACGAGGCAGGTGGTGCACTTCGGCAGGGTATAGATCTAGGGCTCCAAGATGAATCTAGCAGCAGTTAGAATGCTTCACCGCGGCCACGGGCATCGACCTTCGGCGTACGCAAATTGCAAAATTGTATATATCAGCTCTTTGAATCAACCTTTTTCCTTTCGCAAATACGCTGTTTAGCCCTTGGTTCTTGTTTCATGTCATGCACTTTGAATCAACCAACCAATATATCACAAGGCCATCTGTCGGTGGTGTGAGTGTGACTGCGAGATACACCCAGATCTGTCGGTGGTGTGAGTGTGACTGCGAGATACACCCAGATCATCCATGAAAAAAGAGACAAAAGACCCCTACATTGGCCTGTCAAAACTCTGACCAAACCACCCATCCCCTAGGGATCCAAGTACTTTCTGAGGTTCGGTGTTTAGGGTGGGTTTAGAGGGTCCAGATACCGTACCAGCTATAGGAGGTATGACTGGAGCCCTAGGGATTGGGGGTTCTGGACTGTGGACTCACCTGGGTTTCCCACCCGGTGGGCAGCACCCAATTTGCGGTTCCGCTCAAAGGCACATACGACGCTCCCTGGAACTCACATGGAAGTGGAAAACCATGAAAAAAAGTAAACATTTTCCTTATACCAGCACCGAATCCAAGAGGTCTCCGAGTTTTGGTGGCGACCTTGTAGACTTTTTCAAACCGCAGGTGGTGACCGAACTTGAAAGGTCCTGGAAGAGAAAAATAGTCTTCCGAAGAGACCACTTTTTCCACTTCCATGTGAGTTCCAGGGAGCGTCGTATGTGCCTTTGAGCGGAACCGCAAATTGGGTGCTGCCCGCCGGGTGGGAAACCCAGGTGAGTCCACAGTCCAGAACCCCCAATCCCTAGGGCTCCAGTCATACCTCCTACAGCTGGTACGGTATCTGGACCCGAACATGGCACCCGGGCCCCGGTCGTCCCATCGAACCGAAGGTACGACTGGAGCCCTAGTGGAATGGGTGGTTTCTTCAGACTACTCATGAACATCTCAGGTTCCCTAGGCAATCCGTGGCTTTGGCCGTGCTTTGCATGTGCGTTTCCGATCCTTCAAGGGGTCGAGGCGTCAGACTGACCGGGCGAATGACGAATGCGAGTACCTCGGTGCCGAGTTCGAAGGAGCTGATCTGCAGGCTGGGCTGCCTTACCCAGACACTCCATGTATGGAATGTATGCCTACATTGGGGTGGTTTTGGGGTCAATGTAGGCATATGGCATACATGGAGTGTCTGGGTTAGATTCCCCCCTCAAAAAATAGATCCACCCAAACACATGTACCTTGGCCCCCGCCATTTGGGGTGTTTCATGGATACCCTTAGACACCCCAATGGCCCAGCAGCCCTGGTATACCCTTGCATGGCGGGCTCGGCCTCAAATCCGTACTGGTCAAGGGGTCTGGGGCTCTGCACATGGTCGGGCAGTCACAAAAGGAGCGTCTGGTGACAGTCAATCTTCTACCCTAAGGATCTGCACCCGAAACAAAACAAGGGTTTGGTTCGGGCACATGAGGGGCCCCAAACCCCTGGTGAACGGGGCTTCGAGCCCCTGGTGAACTGGTTGGGGTGCTCGGATCCTTAGGGTAATCCATGGATGGGCTGCGGGGGTCTGGTGAATTGGAACCTCCGCACGACCGATGCATCTTCTTCTCTACCCTATAGGGATCCGGTCGTCCGGACCCGAACCATGGGGGTCGGGGTCGAAGCCTCGATCACAAGGGTTTGGGGCCCCGAACCAAACCCTTGTTTTGTTTCGGGTGCGGATCCTTTGGGTAATTGCGATTGACAACGCCGGTATTGCTGGCCTCCCTTGAAAGAACTCCAGTCAGAGTCTCCGATCAATTCGGAATCCGCCGTTGAGTAGCTGGAGCGCTGAACAAAAGATGAATTCGAACACGGACTTACTGGAGGCCTTCGCTTCTGAGGTGGAGGCCATCGCTCTTAGGTTGGAGGCCATCGCTAGCAGGTGGGGGCCATCGCTATTAGGTTCCAGACGCCATCAAAATCAATCATGTTCAGAGTCCTAGTGGCTGGTGAAATAATTGGAGTCATACAATCATGCAGGCATGCATGAAGCAAATTGTACGTTTGGAACATGGACTTGCAACCATTGCAAAGCTACCATATCTCCACTGACAGCCATTCCTCAGTGTCCCTCAATTGTTAATGAATCACCCACAATCGCCCTTCAAATCCCTGCGACTTTAGATCACAATTGCTTGAGAGAGAAACCTCACGGGAGACCGAAAATGTCACATTTGCACAGGAACACTTTGAAGGATTATTAGAACCACTTCCTCTGATTCCGTCCCCACATCTAACCAAACACCTTTACAAACCGTCCAAGCCTCTAATTATAAACTCTTTGCTATGGATATCGGATTGGTCTAAATTAGACTTCACCATCCCTGACGTCGTTTTCACCCATGTCTTAATCAAACAGCGAAAAAAATGGTCTCGGGCCAAGACACGGTCCATCTCTAAGGACAAATCAAACCAATGCTTCGCCATCCGCTGCCTCGGCCAGTCCACCGATGGCCGACGTCGCTGTCCGCTGGCCGAACACCGATTCAGCCACTGCAGGGGGGGGAACCGGAGGCCCCAAAACCCTAAGGATCCGGTCGTCTGGACCCGAACCATGGGGGTCGGGGTCGAAGCCTCTAGTTCACAAGGGTTTGTACCCTCATGTGCCCTCAAAACTCTTGTTTTTGAGGGTGCGGATGCTTAAGGAAACACGTGACGTGAAAAGGAACTCGAGCTCTTGGGGCAAGCTCCAGGGGTGGAACAGCGGTGGAACCGCGGTTTGGTGTTGAACGCCAATCACAAAGAACACCTGTGCCTGCAGAATTCGTGCAGTGGCTTCTGGCTGGAGACCAAACCACGGATTGAGCCATGGCCATTAGCCCAAACTCAATCCTGGACCCGAATCCTTTGGGGTCGGACCGGAATCCTCATGTCAGGGAATCAAGGGGCCCAACAAATTTTTCTTTGGATTTTGAGGGACCAAGGACTGTGAATGGAGCGCTTCAAGAGAACCATCCAGTGAAACTCTTTTTCTCCCACGACGCGCTGTTGTGTTGTGGCATCTGGCCACTTCTGACGCCTTGTGGTGGTCGACTCGGATCTCTCGTCTGGCCATGTGGGAGACCCTGCACTCTGCAAACCACTTGGTCCACTTCATCCATTGGAAGTGGGGATCGTCAGCGTAGTGGCCTGTGATGGCCGCCGCAAGCGCAAGCGGCCCGCCCTGGCCGTCGCTTGATGCGCGGACCCTGGCTGCTCCGCAGCCTGGAGCAGTGGGGCAGGCATGTGCGGCGGAATGATTTGAATGATCCAACCCAGACACTCCATGTATGGCTATATATGCCTACATTGACCCCCCTGGCACCACCCCTGGCCTGATCGGCATATATTCCATACATGGAGTGTCTGGGCAACATCAAGCGTGATTGGAGTTGTGTGGAGGGCACTTACTAGGACCGTCGGGGTGCATGGTTAATGGACACCCCGAATCACCTCCTGTCGGGGCCCCTAAAGAGGTTTCCTGGTATTGAATGATGATTGGGATTTGTTTTGATTGATCCACAACTTGGTCACAAGGCTGAGGTCGAGCGACTTCACAGGTCGTCAGACCGAAGTCTTCTTATGGGCGCCCACCATGTTCGGAGCCCTGTTTCGAGTCGGATGCTATGGAAAAAGCCCTTCCGAGGCCTGGGTTTGGTTGTGGGAAAGCCATGTTCCATGTTTGTAGGATGGAGGGTCAATGTTGGAGGGGTTGAAGGTGCGAGCCCCGACTTGCTTCTGACCAGGCACCAGTTGTCGGGTTGGACTTGACGAGGCGTTAGAGCCATCCAAGAGCTGTGACGCTCGTTGTTTGAGTTGTTCATGGATGAACTACTCTCACTAACTATCAAGCATGAGGTGCCGCAATCAGATCTCATGATCTCCTTCCCACGTGTCTTGCAACCGGGATCTCTTCCTCATCTTTCCTTTCCAATCGTGACCTCTTGGGAACCAATGCCACCCCCAAAAGACATGGTTTTGACTTTGATGTCTTCAGCCGGACGCTCCATGTGACTGGCATATGTATTTTCCTATACCTGGACCTTGATAAAGGGGTGTCCTATGGAGATCCGCAAGTAGCGCAGGGTTCTTCCATTGGTGACCCCTTTGAAGGTGCTGGTGCATTCACCCCTGGTCCACCCTATATAATGTATGCCCATGCACATGGAGTCTTAAAGTAATTGGTACATGTGCCCGTTCTTTTTTGTTTTTTCAGGGGTGAGTCACGTCCAATTTTCTCAAGGTACTTAGAAGTCGGGTTCAGGTAGACTCAGTCTCCAAAACGTTAAGAAGGACCTTCCTGGAGTCACCTTCTCCAACCCCTTCGAGGTTGCCTTCCTGCAAGCGTTGGTTACGCAGCCCGTGGCTACGCATGGCTTGGACCCAAAGCCAACTGACGGCGGCGCTCGTAAAGCGCAATCACAACCTGAGAAAGGAAGCGGATTCCGCACATTCTCCCTTGGATTTGCTCTCGAACTGGGATATACCCAGGAGGGGCTGAAACACCCAGCAGGGTCAATGAGAAAATCCTCAGACAAACCAGCCAAGAGAGGTATCCAGTGACTGCTCCATAGGACCCGGAAAACCAGGGGTACCCACCGAACTGCTGGACCCACCGAACCGCTGGAGGGATGAATCGCACAGTCTGAGGCATGGGACTCCATCCACATGGGACGCCCATGGAGTCCGACCCCCGTCGCAAATCCGATCTTTTGGTGACATGCCGATTCTCAGCCTGAGAATTGAATGACAAGTTGGATAGACTCTTGATTCATAGATCACCCCAGATTTGAACATCCTCTTCATATAATTATGGGGTCTATTCATCAAGAGTCTACATTAGGTGAACTGAACTGAAAGTGTGTGGAGGACGTTGAGTCTCTTCTCATGCCGTCCGAACCTCTCTGCCAGGAACGTTTTTTCTGCGCTGGAAGAGGTGGCACAAACCCCGGAACTCGCATAGAAGGGGATGGACGGTGGACCCTTGGAAGACCATGTTCCTTTACAAACAAGTGTTTCTGTTGTTTCACGTCCATGTTAGTTCAAGGGGGAGCTACTCAAATGTATAGACTGCTGATTTACCAACAAACAAAGGGAGTGTACAACCTCCTTCATATTGCGGGTTGAAATATATAATCAAGCAAGAGTCTACATTCATGTAATAGGATGAGTACTAGGATGAGTTGAATGTATTGCGGGTCTCTTCTTGTGCCTAACTGATTCAAAAAATGGGCAATGGACCCATGGGACTTTCACCCACTATCACATTCCTATGGCTACCATAGAAACCACCACAATACATCATGTACCAGCACCGAAACCAACAGGTCTCCGCAATGGAGGCTTTTGTAGACTTTTTCAAGTCGCAGGTGGAAGGTCCTGGTATATCTTGTTTGATCATCCATCCTTAAACTCTGCGGCCCATTCCACCAGCACCAATTGGATTCCGCAAAAAATCCTCGGATGCCCTATTCCGAGGCAGAGGCGCCGCATGGGCGAGATTCAAGGTGGGATTGTGCGTCTGTTCATCTTGAATATCTCCGACCAGTGGACAGCTCGCAGCTGGGATGTAGCACTGCCAATCCTCAGGTGGACAAAGCTTCAACGGTCAATGGATGGATGAGGCAAGTGCCACCGACACCAGAACCTCAGACTTTACATACTGCAATGACAAGTGATCGTTATGGCAGACTCCACCTCCGAAAGCAAATGCATCAAGTAGCAGGTCGAAGGAACCTTTCTCAACTCCAAATTTTGGCGTTCTGCCGAACTGATGGGCAAGTATGGCACGCATGGAGTGTCTGGGATATATAGTTCAGTGAGACATCCTTGTTCAGGTCGGGTTGAGTAATGCAGGCAAGCTGATGAATGAACCTCTTCAGGCTTGGGGGGGGGGGTTTTATGAATCAAGAGTCTACATTTCCATGGTTTTGCTTAATTAATATGTCTCCCTTTGGGTCAATCCCCAAAATTTGGTGGAATAGTTTGGACTTCTTGACCGGCTTCCTGTTGCAGCCGCAAATCCAAGTGATACGCCTTGATACGGATCAATCCCTGAACTCACTCCCCTACGCTGAAACCAAGCGCCCGAAAAGCCCGAAAACCCCCGGTCCCGGGAAAGAACCCGGTCGGCGCCAAGGCACACAAAGCTCCAAGACGTCCCGTCGAAGGCTCTGAGCCTCGCCGCCCGCCACGAACACGACCCGGGGCGCTGCCAGCCTGAGATTTGGGCGGTGAGCCTGCAGGAAACTGAAAAAAAACTAAATATAGTTTAAACATATTCCGAATAGGTTTGGGATGGTTTGGGGATTTTCCCATGCTTCACTCAGTCTTCACTGCCAGTTTCTTTTTCTCACATTGGGGGTCGTGGTTAGGGAGACTTCTTTCTGGTTAAGGTAAAACTGCTCGTGGTTAGGTCGACCTGGTCGTGGTTAAATGCTAGTTTCGGTTTGGGGGGTTATCCCCTAGGGCTCCAACCATCTCCTCAGGTTCGGTGGTTAGACCCCCCTGGCACCCACCCCTGGCGCACCTTCTCCTCAGGGGCTAGGCCAGGAGCCCTAGGGATCTATCCAGGTCAGAGAACATCCGAATCTCTCTTGACCCTAGGGATCCAGTCGTACCGAACCTCAGGTACGGCACGACTGGACCCGAACATGGCACCCACCCCAGTCCCACCTTCTGAGAAGGTACGACTGGATCCCTAGGGTGATTCAAAACCAGGAAACGCTTTGCAGCACCACAGCGGAACCGGAGAGGACGCGGTTTTGCGGAGAGGACGCCGCCCATGGTCGCGCAGCGGGAGGCAAGCCTCGCGCATTGGGAGGTGGCCATGACCGAAAGTGGGTGGGTGGGATGTGGTCAGGCATCCTCAGTGGATCTTGGCCGTGGTGGGAGTCAAGTGTTTGCTTGTTTTGTTTCCATGCTTTTCCAGAGCATCAAAGGCAAAAGGAGATGAAGCGGACACCCCCAAAACAGTTGGATTGAATGGGTGAGAGTGCGCAAAGAAACTTCATTCATCTAGTCTTTCAGAAAGAAATGATTCGATCTCGGACCCATGAATGAAAGACCCCCGCTGGCACCCGTTTTGAATCAGCCCCGTGGTTGGTTGAGAGGAGCAACAAAAATCACCCCCACGCGGAAGGGTGCGTCGCCGGGCAGGTGTCCCCGGTCGCTTTGGTCAACGAGCTGTCGGGGTTTGAAACTCCCCGGCAGGTGAACGGCTCCGTCGAATGCGGTCGAATGGGATACCCTAGCTTGCCGTCGTGCCTGAGTTCCCGCTCACACCGTCTTTGGTAGTTGATCACAGCTCTTTTTCTATGTCATGTATACCAGGACCCACAAGGGGTGGTTAATGGACACCCCTTAACCATCCTTAACCTCCAGGGAGCTATCAATAGAACCCCCTTAACGAGTCCTGGCAGAGGATCTTAGAGGGGTTCACCATGTTTCATCGGTTCACAATATGTTCGATAACATTGGTATCGATCGCACACCATCGTCGTTTCACAGCATTGTTCAACCGCGTGTTTAGCTTGTTCTTGTTGTTGTTGTTGTTGTTGTTGTTGTTGTTGTTGTTGTTGTGTGCGTTTTTGTATGTGTGTCGAAGCAAGCACCCACAAGGAATGATGTCCTTTATGGGAATCATCACGAGGTAAATGCCAGGTACCACATACCAATTGCTTGTAGTAAATTTATATGCATTCTTGGATGTATCTCCTCTATTGATATAAACCAATTCTTAAGCCTTCAAAGGCCCATCGGCGTGAACTGCTTGAGTCGTGAACTCAATGCCACGATGAGGTTTTTTGAGGGCTTTCTTGTAATGAGGACACCAACCAACTACCCCCTACACCAACTATTTTGTGAGGTTCGGTGCTTGGGGTGGGTGCGGGGGTGAAAGGGTGAAACCACCGAACCTATGGGCCAGGAGCCCTAGGGTACAGCCCCCTCCCCATGGCCCCTGCCGATCGTCCTCGAGATTCTCCAAGGCCAAAAGCACAAAACCTGCCAGTTGGGCAAGTTCGTCGCGGCGTTTTGGTGATGCTCTCATACCAACAGAGGTTGAAGAACCCGAACTAGACTATCCCATAGGTACCCCAGTAGGGTCATATAAGGTCACTTAACCTCTCTTGGTTTGTCGGTCCCCCAGATGAGTGTCGCACAGCCTGCCAATCAATCAAGCATGGCAGCAGGTGCTGCGTCAGCTCACGCGAACGTCCCGTCTTTGGTGTCTGCCCGAAGTGGTGACAACTGGCCGGACACTTCTTCAACCATCATCCCGAACCAGACCAAGTGTCCGGCCTAGTTGGCGTGGTTCGTTCATCCGACGATAGACTCCCTGGTCCAATTGGTCGCCTCCCAGCCAAAAAAGCACGTTTCCTGGGAGGGGGATACACCACAGCAGCCATAGCAGGCAACACATGCACACTGGGATGTCCCATCCCTGTCTTGTCCGGGTTTTGGGATGAAAAACAAACTGACTCCTGAGCCTGTACCTCAACATCTGTCCAACTTCAGGGTGACCCGCAGGTGTTCTCCAACGACGCAGGACTCGACACGCGGCGCGCGCTGATCACGCGCGCGCGTCACGACGTGCGTGCTCTACGCGTGAGCAGCGAGGAGCTCGGCGCCTTGTTGGCGGAGCTGTTTCAAAGGTTCTAGGGGTCCAGTGGGCAGGATCACCAGGCGTGTGGCATGCTCCAGGGCTTGCCTGTCGCAAGCTGCGACGGGGCACGTCGGTGTCGAACGAAGGAACGTGGAGGTGGGACTGGTTTGGGGGGGAGAGCTCTGCGGTGCTGCGGTGCTTGGGGCAATTGGATGGAACTTGGGGTCCCTGGGGTGTTTGGAGGCATTGGTTTGTGGATCTTCAGATCACTGAGTGGAGATGTGGTTGATCAAACCCACCACCATGGGTCCCTGGGTCTTCCAGGAGGTGTGCCATGCCATCCACTTCGTCTTTTCAGGGAGATGGTCTTCCAGCAGAGGTGGGTCAGAACCCGAACTAGCTATGCTATTATAGGTACCCCAGGTTTTCCGGGTCCTAGTTCAGGTCACTGTCCACCTCCGTTGCTTGTTGGAGTCCTTCAACTCAGCTTCACCCGCTGCGCCCTCCTCGCAGCGGCAGATCCGTGGCCGGCAATCAAACCACCTGTGACCGTGAGAGTAGATGGTTCTGAGAGTTGCTTTATACCCGCTAGGGATCCAAGTACCTTCTCAGAAGATGATTGGAGACACTGTTATGTAGGTTTGGAGGGTCCAAGTACCTTCTGAGAAGGTACTTGGATCCCTAGGGATAAGATGACATTAGACCAATGGGGATGTCAGGATCCGCACCCGAAGCCTGCCAGGTCGCCAGGTTTGCGACTTGGAGGTCAGCAAGGTCGCCTCCAAAACTCGGAGACCCGTTGGTTTCGGGTGCCGGTATACCCTAGGGCTCCAAGTACCTTCTGAGAAGGTGTTTGGGGTGGGTTTGGAGGGTCCAAACCCACCTTCTGAGGAGGTACTTGGAGCCCTAGGGTATAACTTTCAAAAGCACCGAACTTGGGGGGCCTTCTCGCCCACCTGGGGGTACAACCTTGGTCACCTCTAACCGAACTGAGATCGCTCCCGGGAAAAGAAATCGAACTGAAACCAGGTGTTCGAGTGTCTAGCCCTATAGGGATCCAGTCGTACCAGGTCGTAGCTTCTCAGAAGGTACTTGGAAACTAGGGTGCAGGTGTTCCTCTTTGATCTCGAGCAAGGGTGACGTGCAGGTGATTCCCTGGTCGTTAGGCTCCTTTTGCTACTAGCTTGGAGGCCATCCCTTCTGAGTTGGAAGCCATTGTGTGTAATTAGGTTGGAGGCCATTGCTACTAGGTTGGAGGCCATTGCTTCTATATAGGTTGGAGGCCGTCGCTTCTAGGTTGGAGGCCGTCGCTTCTAGGTTGGAGGCCGTCGCTTCTAGGTTGGAGGCCGTCGCTTCTAGGTTGGAGGCCGTCGCTTCTAGGTTGGAGGCCATTGCTTGTAGCTTGGAGGCCATTGCTTGTAGCTTGGAGGCCATTGCTTGTAGCTTGGAGGCCATCGCTTGTAGCTTGGAGGCCGTATCCCTATTAGGATCCTTTTGCTATGCCCTTGTCGATAGGCTCACACACTCCTGACAGTCCATCCCGCCTCTCAGCGAGCGAGATCCGCAGCACGTTCTTCAAGAACTTCTCGGAGAAAATGGCCTATGTGGTGTTCGTCCATGCCCCGAAAAAGCACACAAAAGGCACACAAAAGCACCGAAAGTCATTTCGAGAAAACATGGCTGTGGGCAAATATGGGAATGTTGCTTCTCAACGAAAGTAGGGACACAGAAACACACATTGCACGAAGCAAACAGCTGTGGGTGATGGCACCCGGAGCCCTACCCTGGTAAAGTCGTCCCTTTTTTACGTAGGAAAAAACAACAGGGGCTCCCCAATTTTTGACCCACTGTCATACCTATAGACCTTCCAACTATGCCAAATGTCCGGCTTTTGATTCCTTCAAACCAGCCAAGTTGGGCAAACAGTTGCACAATTATACGTCTTGAAAAACCAGCATTTGGGGTCGACTAGCTGGAGGCTATCGCTCTTTTTCTGTTCCGTTTGCTCTTCGCTTGGCCGGAACAGTGCCAAACGCACCGCAGGTTTCTCGCAGGCCGTCGCTGACGTCGGGCCGCGGGCTCCGGTGGGATCTGATCCCCACATCAGGTGAAAAGAACCCCTACCCTTTAGGGTTCCAATCGTACCTTCTGAGGTTCGGTGGGACTGGGGTGGGTGGGTGCCAGGAGGGTCCAAACACCGAACCTGAGGAGGTACGACTGGAGCCCTGGCGAATGACCCCATTCGGACGGGAAAAAAAAAACTCTTCATAGCAAGGGTTGATGAATCAGTCCACATGATCCGATCCAAGTATTCTCTCAGGTTCGGTACGACTGGACCCTCCAAACCTACATAACCAGTGGTCTCCAATCACATCCTGAGAAGGTACGACTGGATCCCTAAGCCTGCAGATGATGCAACGGAGACCTCTTGGTTTCGGTGCTGGTATGGGGGGTTGATCAAGTTAACCTCTTTCCACTGCTTATACATCAGCTGTGGCTTGGACAGATTCGCACGTCGCGCTATAAACCCCAGGGCTCCAGTCGTACCTCCTCAGGTTCGGTGTTTGGACCCGAACATGGCACCCGGGCCCCGGTCGTCCCACCTTCACCTCAGGTTCGGTACGATTGGAGCCCTAGGAAAATAGTGAACCTCTCTTGGAACCCCGAACCTCTCTTGGAACCCCGAAGTTTGCTTTCTCGGGCTCCGAGCGGTTTCGCCCCCGACACTCGGAGCACTCGGAGCGCCTCGGCGGCGCGGGCATTGGCCGCGGTTCGGCTCAGCAGCACCGCGGAGACGCCGTCCGGCTGGGTGGGCGACTGGAGCACTGCAGCCTTGGTGGAAGAAGTGGAGGTTGTTGGTGCCTCCGAAGTTGGTACTGAATGGATGTGATGAGTCATACTATGTCATGAGTCATGAAGCTTTTCACTCCAAAAGTTGTGTGTGCTTTTTTCTTTTCTCTTGGTTTGGTTAATTCAAACAGTCTATAATTTATATGTGAAGACCCTGCAAGCCTCTTTTGAGAGCACATCCGCTTTTGGAGCAGCGGGACGATTTTCGCACAGTCTTGAAACCACCCGGACGATCAAGGGCCCTCATATGGAGGGGTCTGGGGTCTCAAATCCCTAGGGTTTTGAGGTATCAAGAGCTGTGAACGGAGCGTCTGGGCAGTCAACAGTTGCCGATCTTTTAGTCCCGTTGCCACAAAATTCTCCAACCGACTCCTGACCACTCTCCAAATCGCCCCATCCGAAAAGCACCAGCTATAGATTATATTGAAGGGCTTTTCATTCTATTCAGGTCTGGTTTCATTACATTCAGGTTTTCACATCAAGCTCACTTCCTTTCTAGCTATCTTTTTGCTCAATGATTCATTGAATGAACTCCTGAGCCCATGGTATTGACTATACCTAGACCCGACTTCAAGTACCTTAACGGGACACGACCCCATCAAAACAGTTACGACTGGGGCCCCATTTTCCGAGGTACGAACGGGTCGACTCTAGGTATATTATACATTACCAGTCAACTGTGGATCATGACTAGGTTGCAGGCCCTTCTCAAACATCGTGATCATATACCCCAGCTGCAACGGAACATGGTCTGATTGTTTCAGGGTTTATTTTCCACTTCCATGATGGTTTCAGGGAGTGTGGCTCATCTACGAAGTCAATTGACTTCACATCCTACACATCCCCTACATCCAGACCACTTCTCTTCCTGCCTCAGTGTGACAAGCCTCTCATCCAACATGACCAAAAAGGACCACAACGGATTTTTTGGGGTTCTCAATCTCAACATCCATCAAGCAACCCTAAACCATCCTGCCGTCTCGTTGCGCCATGCCGCGGCAAGCAACCCAGCCCGCGCCCCTCAAACCGCTCAGAACGCCCAAACTCTGTCATGACCCCGCCCCTACCCCCCAAAAACCAAAACAACAAACAACTGGAGTCACTGGCTGGGCCGGTTCCAGTTCCGGAGGAAGGAGGTCTCCGGTGCCCCGTCGTCACATCCACGGCCCCTGGATGGGACTAATACCACCCAACTCCATGTGACTTGTGGAACAAAAACCAGGACGACCGTAACAAAGACAAAAAACACCGTAACAAAACAACAAAACAAACAAACAAAGAAACAAACAAACAAAGAAATATACAACCAAACAAAGAAAGAAACAAACAAAGAAAAAAAGAAAGAAACAAACATACATACACACCTCAAAAAGCTGCCGACAGCGCGCCTGGCGCAGGATGCTGCCCACGTTCGCTGCGTGCAAGGGCTCGTCGAGGAGAACACACGTCTGGGTGCCGTCGTTGGTGCGACACTGCTGCAGGAGCTCCTGTCAGAGAGGGCGTGGGAGGTTCCGGCAGAATGTCCGGAAGACATTAGCAAATACATGATGGAGCCGACCAAGGCAATGTATAAACCTCGGGGTGTTCTTTTTGGGGGGAAAGGCTAGAAATGAATGGAGTCCTATAGTGACTCAGTGTCGTAGTGACTCAGTGTGAATCATAGAGGACACAGAACTGCAAGCCTGCAAGAACACTAGCAGACCTTGCGATGGGAATCCAACACCCCGCGAACTGAACCATTCCTAGAATTTGAGCGAACCAACTAGAATCAATCCCAGACCATCCATGAGACCATCCATGTATGGAATATAGCTTTTTAGTTATATACATTATATTGTATAGGGCCTAATGTAGGTAACTATTCCAGACATGGATGGTCTGGGAATGATCAATCCTGCACCAGAATCCAAGACCAAGATGATCCAAGCTCGGTCGTTTTGGGACCCAAAACCGCTCCCGTTCCCGTTTGCGTCGACGGGCGCGTTTTTCTGCTGACATCCTAAATGGTGGTCGATTTGCAGCTAGGTCTTGACCCAGAATTGCCCAAAGGCTCATGGAAGCCAACCTGCTGCATGTTTGAGGTCCCAAGAAGCTAGTAGGGTGGAGGCCATCGCTAGTAGTTGGAGGCCATTACTACTAGGAGCAAGAAGCTTAATTATAGTTGTGAAGGTCCAAACCCTTGCAAACTGAAGGTCCAGACTCTGATCTGAGCCTTTGGGTGTTGGGATTTTAGGCAGGCACCATCTTCTTTTCCATCGCGTTTCCCCAAAACACTCCTCAACGCTCCAGCGGTACTTCCGGCGCAGCTGGGCCAAGTGGCTTTCCTCCGAGATCAGAAGGGAGATTGGAAGGAAATGGTCTCCAACCTGATAGCAATGGCCTCCAACCTGATAGCGTTACCCACTTTCTAGGGATGGGGGTCAGGTGACAGCTGTGACCGCCAGTGTGAAGATATTCCAAAGTCCAACATGGATCCTCAACGGTTTGGGAGACATGATTCTTCCTCTATTCGCAGTAGGTGGTACAACGCCTTGCATGCATATCTTCTAGTTTGCATCCCAAGTATAGCTCAATGGCTCAGTGACTCAGTTCTTTCAAAGCTACCGCCCCTGGTCCAAGGTCCACATGGAACCCTGTTCAACCACGTTGGGTTGGTCGTATCATGGTCGACTGGACTCCCAGGGTGTTTCCCAGTCGACTCGGGACTGCCAGGACGGACTGCCGAGAGTTCCGGCCAGGGGTGGCGGTGCCAGGGGGTCGGCCTCCAGGTCGGCAGTCCGCAGTCCTAGACACGTCGTGTATATGGGTGATAGTGCTCATGACAGCGCGGTCCTCGACCTGGTAGGGATATGTAGGGTGAATGCACATCTTCCAGTCCCCCGTGGAGTGTTTGGGGTGGATTGAGATGGCTTCAGTGGGTTGAGAGGACCAGAGGACCTGTTTGGCATGGGGCTTTCAAGCTTCGGTAGTTGACATGGACCACCCATCTGTTGACAGACATCTTGGACCGCGGAATCCCGACCATTTTGACCTGTGGTGCTTCCGAGCGACTTCGACGTCGGGTCCAAACTTCCCTCGGCTCCTGGAACCCCACCTGGAGTCGACCCGGACACGTACCTCGGGCTCAATGGGGCCCCAGTCGTACCCGTTTTTATGGGTTCATGTCCCATTTTCTAAGGTACTGGGTCAGTCGGGTCCAGGCACAGGCGGAGTGCCCACGCGCAGTGCCCGACCCAATCGACGCCCCGAACCCGGCGGATTCCGCGCCTTCCCCGCGGATTCGCCCGCGCGGCGCGGAAGGTGCCCTCGGCGCAGCGAGTTCGCGCCCAGGTGGGTGCGGAGCCCGGAACCTGCCGAGGTGAAGCGCCACTAGCTTTCTTTGATTCTTTTGTTGGGGAAATGCCCTAAGAATCATTGGACCCTCCGAACTGGAGGGTTTGGACCCTGCATAGCAGGGGTTTGGACCCTCAAAACCTTCACCGAACTGTGGGTCCTTGATTCTTAGGGTGAATGAAATTGTTGGGTTTTGACCTGGAGCAAAAACAACACATGATAAAACAACATAAAACAAAGCCTGAAATGATCTCATTACTCAAGTCGTGCACATGCAACAAGTCGGTGATATAGATCGCCACCGCTTTTGGATGGGAAACACCAAAGCGAAATCAACAACCCTATGAAAAGAACCGGAGGAGAGACATCCGTTGGAGTATAATGAAATATAATGCAATGAGATGAATTTAAGAACTACTGTTTAAACATACGCATATACGTATATTATACCGACGACCACAAACAAATACTCTTACTTACAGTAAGTAAGCATTAATGCAGCATTAATGTCGTGCCAAAACAGAACAATCCTAGTTAGGGCCCCCCTCTTCTCCCTTGCCCACGCCGGCCTAACACCAGGGCTGCAACCGTGAGGGGCCATGGCGGCATCAACTGAACTGCGTGTTGGCGTCAAAGAACAAACATTAAATCGTCTTTGCAATTTGATGCAATTTGACAGGTGACCTTGGACAATACATTTCGTAGTACAGAATGGTTTGTGCAACCTCATTTGCCAGTGGAAATTGGCACGGGGATAGTTCTTCTACTTTGCTGGGGAAAGTTCCTATCAAACAGTTTCTGGTGATGTTGACGAGGATGAGGACAACTGAAACAATCAATCAGTCTTTATTGGTATGCACTGGACATCCACAAGCCACAGTGGGTGTTCCCCATACTAAGGATGAGGATCAAAAGCTGCTCTGATACAATGCAAACATCCTGCGCAGGCAGAAAAACATACGTTATCCCGCAACTCGGGAAGCTTCACCACTAATTTTATACTATATTATTGGTCTTGGACCTAGACTATGTAGTACAGATGGATTGTGGCATCACCACATCATCACCACTGACTATGAATTCAATCATGCGCTGTTTGCAGATTCTAGCGCCGTCAAACGGTCCATACCGGCTTGCGCCCGCCCGCCACAAACAGGTGCCAAGTGCCGCACCATCTCTCAAAGCCACAGCGACGACGGACAGACTGGCTGGACCGACGACTCTCGGGTTACACCTCTTCAACCTTGGCTTTCTCCTGCTACTTTAACATCCTAAGAATCCGGGCCCGAACCAACAGATTTGGTTTGGTGAGGGCCCGTTTTCCCCCTGCGTTTCAGTGGAGAAGGTCCGACCCTGCCATGGAGAGCCCGTTCGGATTCTTAGGCTTGAACAAACATTCAGCAGAACCAATTTAAATAATGTAATTTCACGTAGTTGTATCCCTAGGGCTCCAAGTACGAAGGCGTTTGGACCCTCCAAACCCACCCCAAACACCTTCTCAGAAGGTACTTGGAGCCCTAGGGCATGTAAACACGCTCTTTGATGTTGAACTGGGCACGGATGACGCATGAGGGACTGTGCACCCAGCCAGAGTCTGTTCCAATGCACTCTTCTCAGTCGACGATGTTCCATTTACAGTCTTTAGAACGAAGCCCAAACACTCCATGTATGCCATATATGCCTACATTGACCCCCCAAATGACCCCAATGTAGGCATATATTCCATACATGGAGTGTCTGGGAAGTATGTGAATTGCTGAATAGCAACATGTCTTACCAAACACGTATACTGCATGATTGTCCAAGTGAGTAGTACATGATGGGATTGTCAGGGACTCTAGAATTGTGGATGTGACTAGGAACCTTGGCTTCTACCAAAAGGTTTATAATCGATGATCAATCATGTCCCGATGGTGCTGGAATTCGGATTTTGAACCCACCCAGACGCTCCAAACAGCACTTGGTACCTCAAAGCCCTAGGGATTTGAGACCCCAGACCCCTCCATATGAGGGTCCGACCCCTCCATATGAGGGCCCATGAGCGTCTGGGTACATGAATTCTCACCCTGGTCACCTTTAAGCAGTCTAGATCCCTACAAATCCACTGCCACCGTACCTCAGGTTCGGTACGGCTGGACTCTCCTGGCACCTACATAATAAACCGTCTCCAATCACCTTCTCAGAAGGTATGTGGATCCATGGTGTGAGGGAACTGGATGTTCTCAACGTCTTCAAAAAGAAACTTACCAGGACATTCCCAGTGACCTTTTGAGATCCCAGAATGAGGTCACTTACCAATCCTGACGAGGTCACTGAGAAGGTCCTGGTAGCCATCGTTTTCTTGGAATGACACTCTCCGCACTGACACTTTTTGGTTCTCGGGGTGAGCTCGGCTGCACACCGTGGGGGTTTGGGACCTATATGCTCAAAGGTCATGCGAATCCTCGCCATTTTCTGACTCCTTCAATTGCCCTGGAAAATAACAGTTAGTTTCTTTCTACCAGCACCTTCAAAGGGGGTCACCTGGCTGGTTTCGCCCCTACACCACGATTCAGGGACAGACAGGTCCAGGACACACCTTGAACTCCACTGACCTGCCGAAAACGGCTCGCCGCGTCACCGGGCCCCCCCCACTTCAGCGCCACCATGCACGGCTCTGAGACCGTGTGGAAGAGTTGGCCCATGGCCACCTGTAAAGAGACCCGGTGTCGCTTGGCCCACGCGATCCCTTCAAACACACACCCCAAGGGGAATCACCCAAATCCGACCCCTTCATGGGGTCTGGGGAGACTCTCACCAATCTCTTGGGTTTGGAGGGACCAATCTCGGGCTGGCTTCGGAACGGGTCAGAACCCGTTCGGTCGAACCCGTTCGGAACCGACCAAATGAAAGGGGCCCATGGGTTCATGTGGCCCCTCAAGTCGATACGACTTGACGAGAAGGAGATGTTTTTGGGGTGCTCTTGAGCCCTCCGGCAACAGTGAACCTCTGGGAATCGTTTGAACGAAAATAGAAAGAGGGCCAATGGACATTTGCTAAGAGAAAACCACTGAAACGATGGGCACTGCGGCATGCTGGGAATCAAAGACCTGTTCAGCCTGTTCATGTTTTTTTTTGCAGGGGTGCAAAAAGGAAAGAATACATGCGCTATTAGGGTCAAGAGTTCACACGGAAAATCGTAGAGTGAGTGAACACCACCGTGGATGCAGATTTCGTGGGCATCCGAACTGGTGGCCAGCTGCCATCCATGCTGGCCCATGATGTTGTCCAGGGGGTGTACCTAGGCCCTCAAAGTACCTTAGAAAATGGGACATGATCCCATAAAAACAGGTACTTGTACCCATTTTCTGAGGTACTTTGAGACTCCAGGTACATTTTGTAGGGCTCCTGTCCCATATCCTCAGGTTCGGTGGGCACACCCTTTCCGTGGCACCTACTCCAACCACGGAACTGAAACGGAGGTCTAGTTGGAGCCCTGGGGCATTGTGTCTACTCGTTCCCATCAGCAGTGCCTTCAATTGCCTTCACCACAGCTTGGCCACTTGAGCAGCTAGCAGTGCTGTTTCTCTGACCAAGCACCGGCCAGGCCGATAAGAAACGAAGGCCGGTGAACACCAACGATGGCCGGCTATAAAGTCGGCTCCTGGCCTAGCTCCTGAGGTTCGGTGGTTGGGGTGGGTGCCAGGGGGGTCTAACCACCGAACCTGAGGAGATGGTCGGAGCCCTAGGGAGTTATCCATGGCCGAAATCGGATGGGGGTTTTCGAGCATCGACGGCCTCCGACACTAGGGTTTGGTTCGGGTCCGGACGCTAATGGAGGGTTTCCTCCCCTGCCGAGGGCCCATACGGATTCTTAGGGCGGGCCACCAATCCCCCCCCAAAAAGGATTTGAAGGTGATCCAACCAAAGCATCATCGGACCCAACCACTTCTCCGAGGGTTTGTACCCGGCAGGTCCCGCAGGGGGCCCGACAGGACCCGAACGGGCCCTTGATTCTGAGAGCAAGAAGCACCTTCATTCCGGGGTCACCTGGCTGGTTTCGCCCCTACACCACGATTCAGGGACAGGTCCAGGACACCCCTGTTTCAGGTCCAGGAAGGCACCTCGAATACGAACCGCTCTGAAGAATCCGATGGAACTGGAACCAATGTCTTGATTGGCTTCAGCTCCAACGCCCGGTCCAAGGGGAGGGCCCGGTCCAAGGGTTTTCTTATAGGGCAGAAATGGCAGAACGACTTTTCCGGGATGCAGTGACAATGCAGTGTGTCCTTCTCAGATGTGTTCGACACTGAGACATGTAGGTGCCCAGGTCCAGTATGCTGAGAAGGAACAAACACATGCAAAAACGGATCGGGTTTGCGAACTCAACTGGAATTCACCAGGTCTTCCCTCTCCCAAAAGCGCGCGAACCGAACCACGGTCCCCCGGCCCAGGCCAAGTGGGCACCTTGAGTCGGAGAGAAGGCCGGCACGAAAAGATGGAACGAAACCTCCGATTAAGCTGGAATTGTGAGGTGCCTGCTAGACTCTGAACTGTAAGAACTCAGCTGTAAGAGTTTCAGTAAGGCACATCTTACAGCCTAACCTCCAGCTAACCTCGAACATCTTACAGCCTAACCTCTGTTTCCCTAAGAATCCTTGGGCTCTTCATGGTAAAGGTCGGACCCTCCATGGCCGGGGTCCGGGCCCGGTTCCCAAGCCCTATGTGTTGCTGAAGGGGCCCGGATTCTGATTCCGGGTGCTGTATACAGCCTAACTCTGAACTCATAGAGCTGGAACTTGGAGTGCCGAACTTGGAGGGACCTCCTTTGCATATCTCATCTCCGCTCGCCCACTGGGGGCCTACCAGCCCATTTTGGATTCCTGCCGGTTTGTAAGAGTTGAATCGACTCAGGCCGGGACGTGGGCGTGCTAAGGATACGAGTCCGGACCCTCCTATAAGATCCTATAAGAAGGGGTCGAACCCTCTAGTTCACAAGGGTTTGGGGTTCCGAGCAAAACCCTTGTTTTGTTTCGGGTGCGGATTCTAGGGAAGCGGATTCGCAGCAGGCTGTCCACGGCGAAGGTCACTCCGTTGGGGTTGAGCAAGCCTTCCCAAGAGAGGGAGAGGGGAAACAAAACACATGAACCAGAAGTCCCAAAGGGACAAAGGGGCGCTGCCTGGAGGGGTCCCCAGAATGTCCACTCACTTGGGACTTTGTGACTAAACACCACCCCGACACATGTGACTGCTGGAAGAAACCTTTTAGTGACCTCTCTGGATCCACTGTTCTCTTCGGGCCAGGCGGCAGCACTGCTTGGCACAGTCCGTCTTGCCCACGGCAGCCTCTCGTCTTTTCCGCTTCAGTTCTCGGCGGTGAGAACGGTGAACATGAAATGGCGACGCACTCGAGGGTTGTTTCCCTAGGGATCCACATACCTTCTCAGGTTCGGTACGACTGGACCCTCCTGGCGCCTACATAAATAGTCTCCTTCCTCACCGTACCTGAGGTACGGTGGCAGTGGATCCCTAGGGTTTGTTGAACAACTTCTTCACGGATCCGAGACAAAGAGAGCGTGGCAAAGAGAGCCAGGTTCGAGCAAAAACGTGAGCGAGTCGAACCTTCCCTAGGGCTCCTGGCCCGCCCGACCGGTGGTTAGACCCCCATGGCACCCGGGCACCCAGTCCCACCGAACTGAAACGGAGGGGGCGGCCAGGAGGTGTAGGGATTTGACACTCGATCATGGAATATCTTCGAGGCCCTTTTCGAACGGTCCAGTTCTTGTGAAACGT